CAAAATTAATCGTGCCTTTTCTTAGAGTAAACGTGAGAACTTTCCTTGAAAACATGTGAGTAAGAATAAAACATGTTGAAAGAATCCACGTTAGTCTGTGGGGATAGTTTTCCCTCTTAGAACCAAAAAGTAAGTAACTTTACAATGTCGTAGAGGAATGTCGAGGTAACTAAATGTCGAATCCTGATTCAAATCTTGATTATGAGGCGTTACAATGTGTGGCCTATTTTTTTCCCACCTGTATCGTCTTGGATAACATTAGTTCTCTTCTCAAACAAATAACTGTCGAATCCGTCCTCTCGTAATCATCTATATCCATGTTGATTCTTCCAAACACCAAATCAAGATAAATTACTATTATCTATTCGTTATCATCAAAAATCTCAACCAACTATTACATTATAAAACAATTGGTACTGATCTTGTCGTACAAAGACAAGGTGAGATAGAGTGAATAATAATCGAGGCATCTAGAATGGTGGGTCCGTTTGGAGTGGAGAAATTGTCTAAGTTCGACATCACAAGTGAAAAGGGTGGCCCGTCTCTCTCCCCCTTTGGAACCAAAGAGAAGAAGTGTATTTTTCACTCCATGTTGTTGACTACCACTATGAATGGTAGGCCACAAACACTTCTATTTAGATTCTTCCTTTCTCCAAACCCTTTTATATCATTTTGGATTATTAACTGGTAATCGAAAATAATAATTTAATTCTTCGTCATAATAATTTTGACCCTATTATTTAAATTTTCTACCTATAATAAAAATTATATTTATGTTAGGAATAGGTTTTTAGGATGGATATTAAATTATTATAAGTTCTAAATTACAAATACTAAATTGACTTTTACACCTCTTATAGAAACTAATTTATTATAAACTAAAAATATTTATTTATTTTCTATCTTTTAAGTTTATTCATGCATTAAGAAAGTTGGAGGGACAAAAAAATATTCTAAAATTATTGCATCTATTGACATTGTTGGAGGTTCAAAAAAATCTAATAATTTAAAAAATTAATCAATTTAATATAATCGGGATAGTTTGGGTCGATTTATAAACTTATTTGGGTTGGGTTGGATTTAAATAAATGAAAATTTTATAGATTGGGCTAGTAGATGAATTCTCGTAAAACTAGAATGGATTGAGCGGAATAAACCTGAATTTATTGTTAATTTTAAAATATATATTTTTACTTACGGTACAATTATATATGTATATATTCAATTGGTCAAACATTTTATACTATAACAACTTTTTAAAATAATTTTTAGTTATTTGAAAGTTAATTTTTTAAAATATATATTCAAATTTTTATTAAACATTTTAACGAGCTAAAAAGTATGATACGAAATAAAATGTCTTAATCGTGTCACAAAAACTTTATGATCTATGACAAAATTGTACCATAAATGTTTGGATTTATGGAGGTTTCATCGTATTTTTCAATTTTAGAGTATTACATTTAAGATTTTAGGTTACAATTAGTTGGTATACTTTTAAGATTTGAAGTTACAATTAGTTAGTAGTCATTATCGTAGATGGGCAGTAAAGTTACAACATTTCAATTGACCATATGTTACTCTAAGGTTTATTTTCAAGATTATAAATAATCATTCATGTTGTTGGTTTAGTACGAAGATTTTGGATATTAACATAAGTAATGAGTTTGTTTCTTTGCATATTCTTGTGTTTAGATTTGCATGCTAGAGTCACTCAAGTAGTTTTGATCAAGTTATCTTGTGGACGGGTTTGAATCACGAGTTTTCTTTACTCTTGATCTTGATTATCAAAATAATTTGTTCCAAAACTTTCCTTTGGTTGATTTTTATCGTTTTTGGGGTTCTTGGATAATTTAGATCTAAACTTTTTGTTGTTCAACAAGATTGTTAGATCCAATTCTAAGAGTTTCATAACAATTAGCATCGTACATAAATGGTAAATTCCAAGCAAGAGTTGACATTATAGTGGTTGTGGTTAATAAATCTAAAAAATAAGTCTTTTTGTATTTAATTTTGCATTCATGTTCACCATTTTTTTTCATTAATTACCTCATTTATTTAAATTGAGCCTAATTCTATATTTAATTGAGTTAATTGGTAAAATTTCAAAACATTTATGTTAACCATGATGATGTAGCAAATCTGGAAACAACCATGCTGGTGATGATATGTCTATATAAATTGTTCACCCTAATACTGTAGCATTTCGGAAAGCAAATTTTCCCGAGATGACATGAAAATTTTAAAAGGGAAGAAAGACACAACATAAAAGGGAAAATTTTAGAAGCTTCCTAGTTGGACGGGTTATCCCTACTCAGCCATACATAAGAAGAAAAACAACATAAAAGGGAAAAGATTAGATAATAGCGGAGGGAAGAATAAGAAGAACCCTAATTCAGCAACATACTAAGAATGATGGATTAAGTCAAAAACGGAGACGAGAGAGCTCATGGTGCACTTTTATTGAAGAACAACGACAAAACTTGATAATCTCTAATCCTTTACTCTCTTTTCTTATTCTATTAATTTTATATGATTAGACTTTCAAGTAGTTTTGAAGTTCTTAAAGAAGTATAAAGGTGGTTTTGAAAATTTTTGAAACGTAGGAGGGTATTGGTGACCGTGTTCTACTAGCCATTACAGTAGTATCTGTCGCACACTCTCTTTTCGATCAATTCTCTCCACGAACTCTTATCGTCCCAAACTTTTTTTTTCTTCCGATTTATAAGCTTAATCAGTCCTAAAATTAATAATAATTGAATTGATCAATTCTCTACTTATTAAACATTTGTTCGATTCTTCTTTTGCAAAAACTAATTGGTTCAATATAGTCCTTATGAGCTAATTGGTTCGAATAGTTGGTGTGGGATTATGGGCGCTTCATTATTGGAGCTTACCAATTTGTAGGCGCATGCATGTGAATTTGTGGGGTTTTTTTAGTGGGCACGCAGTCCTTTGCCTAGAAGTGGCACTAGAGGGCATTAGATACTTTATCACTTTAGACTTACTTTTTTTTCACTTAATGATTTACCATCTAATTCTGGCCATGTGTGCCTATATTTTCCTACCTTCCTCGAACAAATAATCATCCGGTCTCGTCTTTATAGATCTCAACCATACATCACTTTATAAGATAATCGATACTGATCCCTCTTATCATGTCATACAAAGATAACTAAAAAGCGATCAACATAACTTAATCCATACTCATTAGATTGAATTATGATCTTATTTGAATTGGGTTGGATTAAGTAAATACAAATTTTATGGATTAGATTGGTTGATGGGTTTTCTTAAAACTAAATTGAATCCGAACTACTCCAGTTAATTTTAAAATATATATTTTTATATATACCTAGAGTTGAAAATAATTATAAATTAAAATTTTCAAAATATATATTAAAATTAAATTATAATTAAATTGAGTCTAAATAATGTATTAACTCGATCCGATCCAATCCAACTTAACCTCATCCACCAACACCCTAATCTACTAGAGACTTTGAGCTCAAAGTGGCCAACATAGCTCACTCCTGGTTAGTACAGGTTGAAAAAAATCTGGTTCAGGAACTTCTATAAAAATAATAATTTAGTACGTGGGGTTGAAATTAGATAGGATAATTAAAATTTTTATTAATTATTAATTTTCATGATTTTCATAAATATTTTTATCAACATTTTTATTTTTACAAATGCTTCTGAAAATCGAGACCGGAATATTTCTTTTGACGTCGATATTTTGAGCCTTGACTATAATTAAAACAACTTATTTAAATAATCGAAAAGAATTATTATATCAATTTTGGACTTTACTCTTCCTTTTACCCACTCTTATTTAATCTGTTCCGTTAATAAAAATTACTTATGAAATACTCGTAAATTTTTTAAAGTTTCAATTAATGACTATAAACTTTGATTAAAGTCTAAAAAATACTCTTAAATTTTTTTTTCAAAAACTCTTACCATTAATTTTTCTTTTTTCTATATGGAAATTATTATTATTTTGTTTCAAAAATACATTTGAACTTCTATAGAATTTTAAAAATACGCTTCTAATTAATGATTAAGCTCATTAATATCTTAAAAAAAAATTTAAAGCTAAAAAAATATTCTCACCCTTAGTACCGTATTTAAAAAATTCACATAAATTTTCAAGAGTAACATTAAAAAGTTTTAAAATAATCTACGAAATATTGATAGACAATTTCGTTCATATATTGACCGTAATAACTCTCTTGAACTTTCTTTTTTAAATTAACTTTTAAAAAAGTTTAAACAATATTAATCAAACTTTTTAAAGTTGAAGAGTATTTTTGAAACACTCCTAAAAGTTGGAGAGTATTTTTTAAACAAAGTTTAACCGTCGTCCCAAACTAATAATAACTAGGAAACTCTTGGGATTCGATATAAAACCATGTTAGAAGAGGAAAAAAAATCTAAATTATCAAATAACCCCAAAAATTGATAAAGAAGCAGCTCAAATAAAGTTTTTGATCGGATTACCTTGATGATCAAGATAAAAAATAAAGAAAACTCGTGATTCGAATTATTCCACAGCATAATTTGATTAAGATTACTTCAATGACTCTAGCATGCAAATCTAAATACAAGAAAGGCAAAAGAACAATCACATAGCTTCAGAAGCATAATGATGCAACTTTCGATTTATTATCCAAAATCTTACTACAAAGCAATACTATAAATGACTGCTTGCCAACTTTAAAAATAAAGTCTTAATTAATTGAAAGGGTGTAACTCTCGTGGTCATCAATACCATAATAATCTTATAATATTAAAGAAAATTCTCGAAAACTTAAAAAAAATAATAGTAATAATAATAAAACACCATGGATTTGTATGGCACGACTAAAACACTTTATTTCGTATCATTAAGTGTATTTTTTTTTTCAATTTTCAATCAAGTAAATCGAAGAACCAAATCAAATTTAACTTATTTATTATTAAAGAGATGGCGGAAGTTCAACTTAGTTACACTTAAATCGATCCGAACACTTGGGAGTCAACCTAACGAGCTGACTCGATGATAATTCACTTTATTAAAATTAAATTGATCATAAATCCCAACGCTTATATTTGACAAGAACTTGAATTATTATACAAAACCCAATAATCAACATTTAACATTAAGTGCAATTCAGCTCCAACTTCCTTATTATCATGACCGTGAGAGCATTAATCACCACCATTCACAAGCTGCCACGTATCTCACATAACACTGCACCCGGATGCATTTTCTTCGTTGAGGTATTCACAGTGGCTAACATAACAGGGCCTCCCTCCGCCGTAACTGTCGTAAATGGGCCTTCCAGAAGCGCACCCATCGCAACATGGGCCGGGCCTACCAAACCCACTGTAACATGGGCCCCCACCCTGCCCTTCATAGCACTGACTACAGCACATCCCAATCGGGTAAGCCGGTGGGTATCCGGGAACCGGCACGCATATGTTAACCGGGAACGGTTCGGGTTGAGCCGGTGGCACAGGGTCTACCTTTTTCGGAGGCGGTGGGTCGGCCTTGGGTGCCGGGGGTGGGTCGGCCTTTTTGGGCGGCGGTGGGTCGGCCTTTTTGGGTGGGGGAGGGTCGGCCTTTTTGGGTGGGGGAGGGTCGGCCTTGGGAGGCGGTGGGTCGGCCTTTTTCGGTGGCGGAGGGTCGGCCTTGGGAGGCGGTGGGTCGGCCTTTTTCGGTGGCGGAGGGTCGGCCTTGGGCGGTGGTGGGTCGGC